CAATTCCTAGAGCTAAAACACAAGCCCTCTCAGACGCGACAGGAAAGTGACCGAAATATGCGTTTAATCCTGCCTTTTCAAACTACTTTTTTCTCATTTAGCAACAGAAACTTTACATACAAATGAACAGAGGTTGTATATTTAGGGTCTGTGCAGAATGGCCCAACGGGAGGCTGTATGGGAAGAGAAAACATTTTTTTTTTCCTCTCCTTTTGCACAGTTTTGAAACGCGGCAAGTCTGGTGGATTTGGTAACACTAATGCAAAACTGGGAAGTGAAGAGAGAAGAGAAGCAAGCTTCATTAACGGAGAGAATTCTACATAAAATATACTGGAGCTGATGGAGGAAGGGAAGAGACAGCCAAGATGTTCAGCTGCAAGTGGAGTCCAATTTGATGCTCAGCGTGAGTTTAAAGGGAAGATTTTCTCAGCCTTAAAATAAAAGAGCAGTATCAGATGCGTACGGGGCAGAAAACTGTCGTCACAGAAATGGATTGTACCAGGCTCGGGAAAAGCGAGAGTGGCAAAAGTAGCTCATTTTGCTGCTCTACATTTATAGATGGGCTCATTCGAATGCTCCCGGGAGGACTGGCTTTATGCGTCCAGGCAAAACATACAGGCATCCTGGCCCGCAGTATCACGATGATAAAACCTGAGCGTAAAGGAGATCCACCACGAGTTAACTGGGAATCTCGCCTTGGAATTTTGGGGAGCAGACCTGATTTCCTGCCAGCAGATCCACCGACGTCTCTCATTTCTCGTAGCGCCAGCCCCCTGACAGAAACAAATTGCTAACGTCAAGGACCCGATCCTGCTTCCACTGAGATCAATAGGAGTTTTGTCATTGATTTCAATGGGATCAAGGCTTCAGTCCTGCAGTTCTCGAAGTCAGTAGGGTTGGGGTTTCCTCTGCATATGTGAGGTTGCGGTAATACTGTAGAATGGGCCTAAATTCTATTGATTACTTGGATTTAAAGCCAAGCGTAAACCCAGGATTAGGGGAAAGAGAGAAATGTGTGAGAGAGTGAGTTTAGAGCAGCACACATTCGTGGCGCGCACCGGGTCAGCAGGAACTCAGCCAGAGCAAAGACTGCAGTGGCACAGCCTCGGTTAGCCAAGTCCATCGGAAAGTGTTGGGGGGAACAGAGAGAAGAAATTCAGTGTGGAGATCCTTTTTCATCTGCTGCCGCTAAAGTAAACCTCTGAGTCACTCGCTCTTTATTAAAAATAAACAAAACATTGACAGAAGAAATTATTGTCACATACCTACACGTCGTAATTGATTCTGTTTCTTTGCTGCTGCTGCTTTTCCCTCATCTCCGATCCAGGGTTGTTCTGTGCTTCTGTACCACTTCTGGCAAATCAGAATTTATCGTACATACGTTTGTGTTCCACTTAATAAAAAATATACCTGTATTTTCAGATAAACTTTGTTAGTAATTCATGAGGTAAGTGACTATTTATGCTAATAAGGGAGAAATATATTCTCAAGCATAATGCATTACATAAATTTGAATGCAAAATGTTCAATTATGAAGTAAATACAGGTAATGCAAATAGTAAATTACATCCAATAAAAATATATAAAGAATGTGTCTTCAAAGAGAGAGAGGCTTTTATTTGCGTCTGCGAGTTGTTTAAAGAGAAAAGAATTAATAAATACTGAATTACTCTTATGATGGTTTAGCTCATAATTCACCAATCCATAACGACTCCCAGTAATCAGACTGTTGTTTCGTACCCTCCAATATAAGGCAGGGCTGTTTCCTCAGCAATTTTATCCCTACCAGATTATCTCGTCTGATTCTATTAATTCTCTCCCATAAATCTGCTAACAGTGATATGTGATTTACTTACCCTGTTAACTGATCTGAAGACTGTTAAAAGGATTTATCTAGCACTGCACCTAGGAGCAGTTTATGCCTTATCACTCTGTTACTCTGAAGAAGTCTTTCTGAAATCAATTTGGCTGGTTTCATAGTTAAATTCAGCGGGCACTGTTTAGTTCTGCACCATAAAATAAGACACTGGATAAACAAAAGGAGCAGTAACTGTAGTTAATGTGTTGGTCTCGATACGTGTTTAAGTCATAACAAATTACACTCCGAGTCCATATAACTCATAACCTGCACGTTCGCTTCTGCTAAGTCTTCTGTGTTAGATACACACACACACACACACACACTTCAGCGATGGAAGGTCTCGCACACGCTGCTGGCGTGCTCGTCCCAACGCGGGGCGATCCGAGTGTCTTTGGAGTTAATGTTTCACGTCCCCCCGCGCGATCTGTCAGAAAACTCTCCCACGATAAATATACGTTAGTTTGAAGGCTCACGAGCCAGGTCAGCAGCAAAGCGGGAGCGAGCAAGGCTCCACGTTCTGTCGTCGAACAGAGATGCTTGAAAACAAACGGGAGCGAGAGGCTACGAGGGGGACGCTGGAGTTTTCCCTCCGCCTGGCTCAGGGCAGGATTGTTACAAACAGTGCTGGGAAAAGGGAGCAGTCTGGGGGAATTGGCCTGCGATAATTGTGGAAAAACTGAAGGCTGAATAGCTCTAATTGAAATGAAAGTGTGCGATTGTTATGGAAGAAACACTGTTAATAGAGGACTGTAAATGTTTAGACACCCATTGTGAATAGCCAAATAATAAAGAAAAATACTACTAAAATGAGAGTTATAAAGCGTAGGGAGGAGAATGTTGCTTCTGAAGGTTATCCAAAAATTGCTAATAATCTTTTTTTCTCTGCTGCGCTGAACAGCAGAGACATTTTGGTGCAGCAGTTCTGTGTAACAATCACACAAGAACAATATCGTACAACTAATAATTTTACCGGCTGTTCTGGTAGGTCAGAGCTCCAATTAATTTGCAGCACTTGCTTACATTGGTATCAATTAAGAGACGGTCCCCATTAGCTCACGCAATTTCATACTCTTTGTCTGGAGTTCAGAGTTTACTCAGGAAATTTACTCGTTTGCAAATGTAGCACTTTGAATCCTCACGTCCAAGCAAACTATTTTATGGGGCTGGAGCCACATTTCCACAGCCATCTATCAAGCGGGCAAGTGAAATACTACATTTGTACATTCTGAAAAGCAATAACCTTTTCATTTAAAAATATTAGCACACATTTTTATGTCTCTCATAGGTGAGCATGTTAAATGATATACAGTACCACATTCATCTTGCTCAGGGAAAAAAACAAATACAGGGAATTGGGCTGTCCTGGGGGGATTTATGCTGCGAGCCTGGAAGTTTTGTTGATTCCGACGACGTGAAGAAATAGGAAAGCCAGCCCGAGTAGTTAAGTTGCACTAACTTTGTCGGGAATCGCAGTCCGTAAGATAAAGCTAGCAGATGTCCGCGGCTGCGCGTGTGCGGGTGTGTTTCGGGACCGTGCAGAAGTGTATTTTAATTTCGCTAGCGACGTTGGTAGCATTTTTTAGCTTTAGAGAATTGCCTCTAGGATCATCTCTAGCTGTAGCTATCTTCCTAAATTTGCAGTGTGCCCTACCGTTTTTAGCTGCAAGGAACAGTACATGCTGTATGACTTTCAGATGTTAGTACTGGCACTCGTACTGATAATGGCATAGTCAGAAGATGTTATCCATTCGTAAATCCACTAGCCAAGTACTATTTCCTCAGCAGAGATTCTTTGGCTATCGCAAATGATGATTTTCACAGTCGGTGAAAAATTACCCAGAGGCTTTCCCGCACCTACCCCGGAAAACCCCCC